GGCTTGGGCTGCAATGTGTTAGAGCCGTGGCAGCTCCGAGTTGAGATTCGAGATACCAGGTGGCGATGAGGAACCCGCGTGAACCTTAGCAGCCTTACCTTGTGTTGTGCAGTCGCACAGTCAGCACCACTGTTGCCAACTTCGTAAGACGTCCGGCTGCAAGCTTGTGTCATGCGATTTCGGGGATACCCCGTTGAAGAGGAAAGATTGTGGCTTGCTTGTTGACTCAAAAGTTCCACAAAGGCGTCGCGGCTACGGATCCGCAGCAAGGTGGTGAAGGGCCAAGAATAAGAATGCTACCTGAATTGGAACCCAGCTTTGTTATCCGCCAGCACGTTGTGTCAGAAAGAGAAGCTCTTCGTGCGCACCTCAGCGATTGATCCACTCAGGCCGAATTTGCGCAGCAGCTGTCGCAGTCCGTCCTTGAGGCCCATGTCATGGGTGGAGCACAACTTGCTTTGAGGCTCCAAAGCATTCGGCCTCAAAGCTCCGGCCCAGCTCTTCGAAATGGAGCCAAGGACAGTCCAATTGATGAATATTGCAGAGCTTGTCCAGTCATTGATTTTTGAAAATTGCACCTGGATATTTCTGGATTGATACGATCCTGTTGGAATCCGAAGCATGCCAGGGAAATTCTGATGTGTTGACACTTGCGCTTGCATGCGCGTTATGATTTTGGTGACTGATTTAATGCACAGCTTGTCTTACAGCAGAACGTGTCAAGGTAGTTTGGGTCCCCGACTAGTCGCAGAGAAATGTTAATTGGCTCCTGGTCCCGCTGTGAATCTCGTTGCCATTACCTGTTTGCTGCAAGTATCGAAACCAGTTGACCAGTTGACGGCGCTCAGTTGTACGAGAGAGAGAGAGATAGAGCGTGTGTGGGTGCATATTATATATATATATATACAATACGTATATATATATATATATATATGCATACGCACAGGCGTTTTCAGGAATAATACTGCTGAAGTCAGGGATTGGAGTCTCAAATGCAAACAGCGAATTATAGACATCGAACCTGAAGTTTCATGTTCTGGCAGCCTACATGGACTGTTTTCAGGCTGCATTGTTGTGTGTAGACATCTCAAATCCCGCTCTGACGTTTCGAAACTCGCAAACAACCTGCATCCTCAAGATGCAATCAACACACATGCCGCAATGCAACTCGTGGCCGCCACCCGCCAAGACCAGATTCAGATTGCTGCCGGTCAGGGGTACAACTGTGACATCCTGCTCGCGCTACCGTCCTGCCTCCTCCTCCTCCTGCTCCTCCTCCTCCTCCAAATCATCCCCTTTCATTGTCTCATCACCATCTTATACATATCTACATAAATTTGTTTGCCTGTTTTTCACATATTCTTGTCTCATGACCATCTAAGTGCGTATTTCTTAAACTTATACAAGATGAGTGTCTGTGTGTATATATGTATATACACACACATATTTGTGTCTATGTTTCATCACCACTTTTGCGAGGCCGCCCCGGCCTTGGCCGATTTGCTTCGGCCTGAGATGCTCAGAAGTCGTAGCTTTCAGGAGGGCTGCGGGAGATTCTCAAGGTCAGAGGCCTCGGGCTTGAAGAAACGGGGCTTCGCTGCAGAACCACGAGGCTGGCCAAGAGTGGCTTAGCGCTGACGCCGTTCCAGAAGCAGGAGCTAAGAAGGTGGGCAGGGCTGCACTGCAAGAGCAGATGTTTGTCCAGAAGCTTCTTCTGCGTCTTCCCACAACCTGTCGTGCGCTAACAGCTACAACAACAGCAACAAACGCCATCGCCATCACAACCAGCAGCAGCAGCAGCAGCAGCAGCAGCGGACGAACACCAACAAGAAAAAGACGAAGAATAATAAGAACGATAGCAATAACAATATGACTGAGATCAACAACAAAGACAGCAAAGTAACCCAGCAGAACCATCACACCGAAGCAATGACAGCGAGCGAGCTCACCCTGAGAGGAAGCAGCAAAAGCAACAGTAATCAGTAATCGCAATATGCCAGTAGTCAGCACAGGTAACGATTGCAGATGAACACGAGGGAAATAATGGAACTGGGGATGTCCGTTGGGCTCGTGGACCTGCGGGCCATGGATGGAGAGGGCTGTCCGTGGGAGCGACCACTCACTGAGACTGTCGGCAATAATTTAGTCACTTAGTACTATAGTAGTAGGAGCACCCATGGGATACGCAGAAATCCCTGAGGCTTCAAAGCAGTTTGTGGCAAAGAAGGAATCATGAAACCACTACTGGCACATGGGAGGATAGTCGCAACACGATCCAGCTTCCCTTCTCTGACCTCTAAGCCTGGGAGGCAAACCCAGGAGCTGCTGAAAATCCACAGACGGCCCGGGACCGAGTTTGAAACCCATCAGAGATTTCAGCATAAGCTCCGACATATTCTGTGGAGGGTCTTGGGGCTTTGAGGTTGTGGAGTTTAGGTTCTTGGGCAGACTTCGCACAAAATCTGTTGCAGGTGGGTGTTGTACCAGTCTCTGCTCCTGTTGCACGACTGGCTGCGCCCCCGGAGAATGGCAGGGATCGGTTTGCGATATAGGGTTTGGGGGATCTGAGGCCGCGGGCAGTCCAAGCTCCAAGACACTCGGCCAAACAAAAACCGAGCCCTCGTAGTGCACTTGTCAGAAGTCCCACCTCAGTGCTTCCGTGAATGCGAAATAAGATTGGTCCCGACCCATCACGGAAATCCGCAACTTCCAGAAGCCCCGTGATGAGGCAATCCACAGCTGCTGCTCGGTCTTCACAGGAAGAGGCTTCAAATTGAGTCGATTTGGGCGACGATGAACGCGATGTTTTGCGATTAAGCTTGCGCCAGTCAGATTCTTAAGTGGTGTCGAGAGGTTCTTCAAGAGTGAGAGAGATTGTGTTGCATGGCCTCATAGCCGCAGCATGCATATTCTTGCGAATTAATTACTCTGGAAGCTCGGTACTGGCCTGTCACAGCATTGTGGCATGCCTCCACCACTGACATTTGTGACTTCTCAGCAAGGCAGTCCAAAAAAAGGCACGTTGGAGAATGTGTGACACTGCTACTTTTCGTACGTTCGAGAGAGTTGTGTGTATTTAACGTATGTACCAAATTCCTGCCCGATCTCATCCCTCCATAGTTCCTTATATAGTCTAACAGTCCAGCGCACGCATCCATGCATGAACCTAGGTATGTACGCACGCACGTACGCATGTATTTGCGTATGATGCCCCCACGCACGTATTTGCGTATGTATGTATGTATGTACGTACGCATGACACTCTGTCAGAAGAAACACTTGGCACGTTCTCAGCATGGTGTATTCTTGCATTCATTGATTACTGCTAAGGCACAAGGTCACAAGGTTTTTAGGGCTCTCGGGGCACCGGGAGGCCTTGGCCCAAAGCTTCGTGGACTGCCTGTGGCGGCTGCACCGATCTTGGTTCTGTTTGGTGGTGGCTTCCTAGGGCAGGAGCTCCCGTACCAGGGACCCAACTCTCCGGGTTTCCCACTGTTTACATACTGTAGCGCTTGTAGCACAGGCCTGAGCCTGCACCCCTCAAGATGCACAGCAAATTTGTCCAAGGCATCGCTGTGTCCGGAGTCTTGTGGCGCGGCTCAGCAGCTGGGCTCATTCAATGTACCTTCAGCAATTTTGCTATGTAATTGCTATGTACAGTAGCGCTCACCTGTCTTCCCTGCTGCGCTGACAGGCTTGAGTGACGGAAGGTCAGGCTTCATTGCTCCACGGAGATACTTTGCGTAAAGGAGGCAAAAGCCCCGGGGCTATGTTCCTTGAACTAGGATTTGAGCCCAATACACTCCTACCAGTACCTCAGCCTCGAGTGAGGAGTGGCCTCACTAGTGCCATGCTCTCAGCCGACACACCACAGTTGCAGGTGCAGGAAGGGTCACCGCTCATTGCTTGTCGTTACCATCTCATGCGGAACTGCATGAATGGACGCTCTTCTTGTGTGAGCGATAAGTACTACTGCGGTATTGTGGTTGGCAGAAGAAGCGACAAAGAGGGCTTCAATCAGAAGTGTTTCTGTAAGTTCTGCGAGGCAATGGACGAGGTTCTTTGCATATGTTTCCTGTGCACACCTTTCACCCGGGCGATGCGTTTGCATCAGTTCAGCAGCGTCCTTCCCGTCCAGAAGCCATAAGGCCGGGCCTCTCCACAGAGAGCCGTAGCAGCTGCCACTTCGCATTGGCACGGCGGTGCTTGAAAAAGGCACAGGCACCGGTGGAGAAGGAGGCTGGACTGCGGAGATCAATCGCAATAGTGAACATTGTGATTCTAGGGCTTTTTTTGTTGATTTCGCTGTGGCTCGGTGTGGGTTGGTATCGGCTGCTGTTCGATTCCTTGCGGTTCTCGCTACGCTTGGGTTCGCTCGTTTTGGCTCGGTTCCATCATGGGGTTTCACCTTGCGGGTTCCAGGACAGTTTCTGCCGGGGTAATCTTTAGGACGTTTTTGTGTGGCGCGGAAGGCGGCATCGAGAGACTCGGCTTCGGAGAGTTGCCACGTTGCTTCGGTGTCAGCCCCTCCAGGCTGGCAAGGTGAGCTCTGCCGGGGCCGAGGCAGGACCGAAGCTTTCCATTCACAAGCTCTGGAACTTCGCATTGTTCTTCCAAACTCGGGACTAAACATATTATAGTGGAAAAAATATTTTTCCCCTTATAATATGTTAACTACGAAGGGTCCCACCCGCAGCAGCTGGCTATCTCCACGCTACACTGCGCATGGATGAACGTGCTGTGCGGTAGGTTGCTTTGGTTTTCTTGGGTGCAGGGAGGTGAGACGCTGCGCCATGCCCCGTGTGTTTAGTTCACAAGGTCTCGAGCCATTCCTCCAATACTTGTAGCATTCGAGGTAGCCTTTAAATGCCTTAACCTGCGCACCACCGAAGGTCCATGGCCGCTGTCTGAAGGCTTTGTCAATGTTGAGCTTGCAAAACTTGGCAAAATGATTTTGAGATATCTTGAGCACGCACAAGGCAGCCCTACGCCTCGGCTTGATGCAGCGAAGCCTCGGGGACGCCTCCGACTCATCTTGGGCCTCGTATGTTTTGTGTGCACGCCCTCCTGCTGCTGCTATTGCCACTTCCACTACTACTCCTCCGCCTCCTGCTCCTGCTGCTGCTGTTACTGATGTTACTACACTTCCTTAGCGATGTTCAAGCTACAATTTTACGACCTCGAATGCTGTGAATGATGATCCGCACAGGAAGCGAAAAGTTCTGGCCCAAACGGCTTTTTGGAAGCTTCCAGAAGAGCATAGTGTCATCATGTCGTCACTTGCGGGATGATGCTCTGGGAAGCCGCGATGCTATTGGCATTTAAGGTTTTTAAACCTCTGCTGCGGGAATGCGTTCCGGCAGAGCCTGGAAGTGAATCGCACACGTCATCCAAAGCCAAAGGACGAGCAGGACATGCACAGCACTTGAGAATCCCTCTTTGCGGCATTCTCATTCAGTCGAATATGATTGGATATTAGTGAAGTGATGCTCCCTGACGTTGTTGATGTCCCAGGTCTGCCACTGCTGGAGGGCCCTCAGCCGCTGTCTGTCTTCCTGGGTATTCCTGCCTGATTACGGACTAGGTCTTCGAAGGTCACCTCACAGATCAGTTAGTTAAAAGGCAACAGCATGTGAATCCTTGATTAGGTTGCCCACCATGACAGCGGGCAGCAACGTCAAAAACTGCTGTCGAGTGGAAATTGGATGCTGTATACACGTGCAAATCGTGCAAGCATCTTTCTGGCATTGCATAGCATGCATCTTGAGCTAGGCTTGCAGTTGACAAGAGGTTCAATTGTCAGACATGTCAGACTCCGTACGTTCTGTGCCAGTCCCCCTTGATTTCGCACGAGTCCCCGGCCCCCTCCTACCAGATGAGCATTCGCATTCCGAGCCTTCGCAAAGCTATGACTCCACGTACTGCGCAGATACCCTTCTTCTCTTGGCTTCGTTGTATCGCAGGTTTTTGGAAGCTTATGCAGCGTTTGCTCAAGTGGCGCCGGGGCAAAGAAGCCGTGCTTCACACAGAAGTTCGACTCCTTGCACTGAACCCCATGCCGATGGGGTTCTGCAACTGGGTGGCTGACGGCAGGTCAGTTCTGAACCACAACATCCCGGATCCCGTAGAGTCCCTGACTCGGAGCCCCAGGCCCTACCTTTGCTTCAAAAGCCCCATCCTGACTTGGCAGGCTGCGGCACGGGGCGGGACTTCTGTGCCAGGGCTGCGCTATAGAGCAGGTTCAAGGTGATTACATCAATTGAATCAGATTCCTGGAGCTGCAAGAGTGTTTTCGGTTTGTTCTGTTTGCTTTCACTTCTTCCGTCCCTTGAAACATTGAGGCGTCAGCACCTGGCAGCGTCTCGCAGGCAGGGTACCGGTGGGACGCAGAGCTTTGCTTGTCGGTAATGGGTTGGCATTCGGCTTTCACCGCCCTTGTCTGTCATTTGGTGACACGTTGAAAATGCTACGTAGTGTTAATAGTATCAGAGCTGTTGCTGTTGCTGTTGCTGTTGCTGTTGCTGTTGCTGTTGCTGTTGCTGTTGCTGTTGTTGTTGGTGGTGGTGGTGGTGGTGGTGGTGGTGTTGCTGTTGTTGTTGGCGGTGCTGTGATGTTGGCCTTGTGGTGGTGCTGTTGTGGGGGGTGGTTGTTGCAGTATTGCGTATAGCGGTAGTTGCAGTAACACACCACGAGGAGGAGGAACAGGCGGAGTAGGTATGGCAGCCAGAGTTTCTCATTTCGCCGGGACAGGGCATGTGACGTCACGGCTTGTGTTCACACGATCCTGCAGGAGAGCGGAGGAACCGTGGCCATGGCCTCATGATTGTAGCCTCGAGCTGGAAGGGTTGGTCTTGCTCAACCCGAGACCTTCCAGAGTCGCTCATCATCAGTCACTCAAGCATCCGGCTCATGCAGTAAAAGTCAGTAGAGTATCTCTTCCGTCGCAGAGGTGGAGCTCCTTGGATATATCCATGGACTTTGCACTGGGCTCAGACGGCCTCGACTCAGACATGGCCACAGGAAGCGAATAAGCTTACACCGCGGGTCCTTGTTGTTCAAGAAAGTCATGCCGGTATTTTTCAGTCTCGATCTTGCAGACATCAAGGCGGCTGCCTCACTGAGCGCATGATGCCAATCATGGAGAGGCTGTCAACGCAGGTCCGATTCTTGACCAGCATTTCCTGGACAGCTGAGTCGATGCTAGTGAGATGTCAGTGATAACGATAGGGAGACATCAGTAGGCTTCGTCGGATGGATGGCTCTTCCGTGCATGTGCAGCAACTATGTTGTCTCTGAGTCTTTAAGTCAGACCTTGAGATGCGCTGCTTGCACCACTTCAGGGCCAGCCGTCGCCAAGAGCCCGCTTCTTCGCACTTAAGCTCCTCTGAAAGGTGAGCAGCGCACAGGGAGAGCCCATGTTGTTCCTGCGGCCGTGCTGAGCTCAGCGTATGTGTGCACACCTTATATATATATATATATTATTATTATATATATATATATTATATGTGGATATACGTATGTATATATATATATATACATGTGACGAAAGAGGTTCGTGACAAGAATATGCAGGTGCGACATAGCAGGAGACATGGATTGGAGCCTATTTGTGTCAATGGCCTGTTGCGTGAATGGAGAGTTCATGCTTGCGATTCTCCTTGCCAAGCCATCTAGTGCTTGTCAGCTGAGTCCATGACACCCTGGAAGCGCTTAGATTGATGAAGATATTCTCCCCCATGCACCTGCAGCTTAACACCGACCTACAGCCCCTAGCCCCAAACCTCAAACCCTGGCCGCCGAAGCAACGAGCTTCACATGACTTCAATATGTAGCCGCTATGTCGGGCTGACATGTGGCCGGGCAGGTTCGGAGCAAGTGTGTAACATGGCGTGATGAAATGGCGGTTCCGTCAGAGCTTGCTGTGGTAGCGCTCCGAATCTCTTGCAAGGTCAAAAGGCTCAGTTTGTTCGCTTATGTATTCTGCCGTTACAAAATCAAACAAATCAACAAACAAATCAGCTTATACACATACCAACACATGTATGTATGTATGTATGTATGTATGTATGTATGTATGCATGTATGTATGTATGTATGTATGTATGTATGTATGTATGTATGTATGATTATGTATGTATGCATGCATGCATGCATGCATGCATGCATGCATGGATGGATGGATGGATGGATGGATGATGTGTGTATGTATATCATATGCATGTATGTATGCATGTATGTATGTATGTACGTATGTATGCTTGTGTATTCATGTTCAGCGTACATGTGTAGGATGTATATAGGTGCAAGTGTGTGAATATTAATATGTATACACATCTACAAGCGGTTACGAGCGTGTAAAAGATCTTAACAGAGCCTGCAAACAGTTCATCCCTTGGCAGGTCTGACGCCGACGAGCGCACTTCACAGGTGCCTTCGTCAAGAAAAACTGGCTTGGAATATGGGGACATTAGCTTTGGGACAAGCAGCTTTCGGATGACGGACGTCCGGTCTTCGTCGGCGTGGGGGGTGCCACGAGTGCAATTTTGACAGCACACAGAACAGGCTAACTGTGGCGAATTATTGTGTAAATGCGACATTTCAGCACGCAGCGCTTTCCCGGGGATACGTCCACACGCGCAGCACACACCAGCAAACCAGCAGGCAAAACAGCGCGAACAACTACGCGCCTGTGTAGATCGATCACGGACTACAACCCGTCGACAACCACTTTTGTTTTTTCCTCGCTCCATCCGACCCGCAGGCCCCCGGCCACCCTGTCGCGAGCCTTTGGAGCATCTGGCTGGGCCTCACCAGGCCATGGGATGTGCCTCGTCTTGACAGGACGCTGAGTTGAAAAGCGTGTCTCAGAGGGATCGTTCGCATGTGGCTCAGTCCATCATCTGAGTAATCCAGTACGCCCTTGCTTGAAAAGCTTCTTCAACCGCTGAAAACAGTCGAGCCTCGCAACTGCATTCAGCATGCCGAGGTATGGTGAGCCTGGTCCAGATCCCACGAATGGGCGGCGGAAGATGCACGGTTGCACGAGAGCTTGTCCGTCCGGCTCAAGCCGTCAAGCACCTTCGGTCGTTGAGCCAGCTGCCAGCTGATACCTGAGCCTCACTGTGCTTCGGCCGTGTGAGGGGTTGTGTCATGGGCCTTGTGAGTGAGCGCATGAGGTGGCATGCCATGGACGGGGACAACAACAAGGAAAAAGAATATCCGCCTCTTGGAGCACACAACACGAAAGAGTACGACGAGCAGTATGGGCGCTGGTGGTTTCAGAGAAAGGACACGCAAAGACTCAATGCCAAGATTCAAGCAGAGATTGCCACTCACTCGAACATGCGTAAAAGTATTGCTTGATGCGTTCAGGAGGAGTGGCGCCCGAAGCTGTACACCACCATCGGAAGCCATGCACGCAGCCCCAAACTCAAGCGGACGATCCTGAGGCATGTAACCACACACACTGGCGCGCACATCGTTCAAATTCAGAACGTCTTCTGTCCCCTGAAGGAAGTGCTACAACACTCCCAACTTTCGCGCATTGAAGATGGACGTGCATCGCAGCTTAGCTGCATGGGCCGAGTACATTGTCTGTGCTCTTCACCAAACAGGCTTTGGGATAATAGCGAACGACCACCAGAGCAATTTTGCTAGGGCCGCTTGGGTTAAAGAGCTCACCCTGAAGCTCTCTGTCCACATCCTTTGAGATCCTCGTTGGGCAGCCTCTAAGTTCCCTCCCGCGGAGCCGTAAGGCAAGCGATGGCCCAAGACCCGCGGACTGAACTTCCGCTTCTTCGCAGAGTTCTGTGAAAAGGAGAGGATGGTCGAAGCCGCCCCATGTGATGGCTTCAGGTCCACGATTCAGGGGAGGGTCTAGATAGGGTCAAAGCCTAAGGCGAATGTGCCACCGCCACGACGACTAATTACTACTGTTTCCTCCACCAGCAGTACCGCTACGACGAGCACCTCCACTACTGCTGATGCTGCTACTACTACTGCTACCACTGTAATGCTGATACTGCTCCTGCTCCTGCTGCGCCTGCTGCTGCTGCTGCTGCTGCTGCTGCTGCTGCTGCTGCTGCTGCTGCTGCTACTTGTATACTACTACTAGTACTACTACGAATACCAATACTAATACTAGTACGAATACTAACACTAATACTACTACAGCTCCTGCTGCGATACCAAGGGAATACGACGACCACGACGACCACGACGACGACTACTACGACTACTACGATATGATTTCGACTACAAGACGTCGGTTACTACCTCTCATTAGTAGCGCGACCAGGGCCATGACAGTGACGAGCACAGGCACGACGAAGACGTCGACCACGACGACCACTGCTTCTACTTTACTAAGTACTTAAAGCCACACCCACCGGCACCTCAACATATGCAAGGCAACACTGCTGTTGCTCCCGTGGCCTTGGAGGAGTTCAAGAAGCGCACTTTGCTGGAGACGGCTCACACCTTGCCTTTGCTCCTGGACTCCAGATTCCTCGTGCTAGGATTACATGCTGTCGACCTCCGACTTTCAGACTCCAACATTCCAGTCCCACAGGTTCGGCGCCGGCTGCAAGTTCTGGCGGGCACCGGACGTCGAGCACCCGGACCGTTCGGGTTGGGTTGCCGGGGCTGCACGGACCTCTGTGGTTTCGGTTCTTCCAAAGCATCTTGGACATGTAGAGGGTGAAGACAATTCAGCCGCCAGCCGCGGTGAGAAGGCCATTTGCGGAGTTTGCGGAGCATGCTGTCGCTGTCTGCAGTGACCTGAAGGACACCAAGGGGCAGTACTTCGTGGCGGAGTCTGTGGAGTACCGTTTGAGACCCATCCGAGGTGGGCAGGGCCCATGCCTTCAACAGTCAGTATATATCCTTGCCAGAATCATTCAAGCGATCTTCGGCAGCAGTTTCAGCCACACTCAATATGGACGATATACGGACAGAAAGCTTTCTGCATGCTAATTTGAAACACGCAGGGAGAGGACTCAAAGTAACTTAGTAACGGGTATGTGGCGGAAAGAGCCAAGGAAGCCACTGTCACAAATTAATGCGTCTTGCAACAAGAACTGCTGATCAAGGACTACCTTCTCAAGGACCTTTTGCAAGCTGTAGTAGATGCCTGTGCTGTATACCTGGACACACAAGACATACTACCACCAGTGTAGTTGGTTAGTACTCGTACTTACCGACTTGGCGTCGTTGCGGTGGTGATGTATGGGAAGTATTGGAATTTGGAATAGTTGACTGCTGTGAAAGAACCTCTGCATGCGCCGTTGGAAGGTGACATTCGGGGCACGCAGTATGTTTTCGGCCGACCCATCCGGGATGGCATCGCACCCATTGCAAAGTCGCTCGGGCCGGGCCCTCACTTCGCAGCAGGATTCTCCACTCCAAGAACCATGCACACCCACCTACGCACCTGGTCCTTCCATGCCAGACTCTCCATTTTCTTCGCAGGACGCACGGTTGCGCCAAGGTCTTGGCGATACGAGTTCCCCGCAAATGCGCACCCTGCCGTCTACAGACCGCCCTTTCCACCGATGAAGGGCAGCAAGGAGGAGTCCGGGGACGCTGAGGCTGAATGAGTGATCCGGGTGCCAGCAGATGATTGATGTGCTCTACCGTAGGTAGAGCCAAGAGCGGCTGCAACAAAAATGTGGGCGACTGTTGTGTTTCTTGTGCAAGCAGAATGCACTTCTGGATAATTACCCCTAGACCCCTGTACTGCCGCTCGCAAAGCTAAAGCCAACTCTTCGAGTGCTTGTGAGTCGTTCACTGGGCTCAAGCGATGGCACCTGTATCACAAAAGTTGGGTATTCGGAAGAAGCAAGGCGTTATCTGTTAGGTCGTGGCACTGCTCTGCGTGCAACACCCGAAAAGATTTCGCCGCGTTCGCTTACTGTACAGAGCACGCAGATGCTACTCTTGCCTGGGGAGTCCCAGACTTTGAGCCACGGCGCGCCGAAGCAGACCAGGCAGGAGGTGATCACACGTGTCCTGGCTGGAGCGTCAAGTTTCGGTTCGTGCTTCCATGCGAGTTGGGTCGTCTTGCTGTCTCGCAGAGCAAGTTCGGAGTCCTGTTGGCGCATGTCGAGATCAGGCACCTATCGATATGTTGAGCCTCGGCTGGAAGTTGCTCAGATTCCAGCATGGGTCAGCAAGAATAACAAGAACTGCAACAGCAGCAAGATGCGGCAACAGCATGGTCGTCATCAGTAGCAGTCACAAAGCTTAAGATACAGCCGAGGACAAGTTCGGAGCTTCTGGGCTGCAGTTCACAATTTTCTCAGACAAGGGCAACTTGAGTTCAGAGGAAGTCCTGAGGTCGTGAACTGTCGTGGTGTAGCTAAGTACAGCTTGATGGAGCTTGAGGGGTTTAGCAGGCACTCGTTTACACCCTGTACGGTTGGAGATCCGAGTGGTCCTAAAGCCTCGAGGAACGTACCGCGGAGTTTCCGGTGGAGGCCAGCGAGGATGTGGCAGGTGCCGTCTCCTCGGCGTCCTCCGGGCCGCTCAGGGACTACCAGGAAGGGACTGAGATGTTTTTGTGGCGTTCGTGAGCTTGGTTTCAAGTCCTACAGGGTTGTTGGGCAGATTGAGAGAAGACACGCAGAAATGCCATTGGGTGCGATTTGTGACTCCTCATGGCTGTGGGAGTAGGGGGTTTAGGGTTGAGGGCTGAGCATATCTGAGTGCTTTAGGCGGTCAGGGAGAGAGTTCAGTGACGGCGAGCAGGACAAGCTGAAAGCCATCCAGCTGCGGGAGAAGCTTCCTTCGCAAGTGAGCTTTTGGCCTGCTACAGGTACCTAGGTTTCCCGGGCAGCCGTTACACCACAGGACCTGTGTGACCTGCTAGCTAAAGTGCAAGGAACGACGCAGAAATCGTTACTGGGAACCTGCCATCCCAGGAAGGGCCTTTCGAAAGCGGAGATCGCCGAGAAGGTGGGCCGTTCTGAGCACTGGGTGAAGAGGCGCGGCCACGGCAAGCAGCACCCGAGCTGCGGTGAAAAGAACATGTTACATGCAAGCGTCCATTATGCTACACTGTGATTGTATTCGATCTACTTATATATACACATACACATCTACATACATATATCTATACACACGTATGACTTTGAACACAACTAGAATAAATAAATATATCAACATAAATATGTGTATATATATTCTATATATATACATATTTTTTGTGCATGAATGCATGCATGCATGTATTTATGTAT